TGGGGCTCCCTGCAAAGCCTGCCTATGTGCACCTTCATGCTGCCCTTGCTGGCACCTGATACTTCCCAAGGAGCAAAACCCTTTGCTTTAAAACCATTGTGCGTTTCCCCAAAACTCCAGTCCTTCCAGTCCTTGCCGCCTTCTACCTCTCACACAGCCAAGCACTAAGATCTGAAATAATCCAGGTTTAATGCCTGAGCTGCTGAAGTTATTGCAGCATTTATGGGTGTGCACTGGGAGCCTGTAGCTAGAGTGGAGTGGGTTTTAATTTGTTCAGAGTCCATGTCAAGCCTAGATGGTGTTGTATCTGGGGAGTCTGGCTCTGCTCCATGAAGCAAGGTGGTTAATTAATGAAGGATTTAGCTTTTGGTCCAAGTAGTAATTTTCACTGCACCCCAGTACTTTGTAGACAATTGTCTGTATCAAAATGACCGATTAAATTGGGTAAAGAAGGTCTGACGTGAAGAGATAATGACTGAACTGCCCAATTAGTGTGGAGTGGGTACAGAAAAGCAATTAAAAAGGGATATCTGAATATTCTGGGACATGGGATTGGCTAATGAAAAACCAGGAGGAAATAGTAAAAAAAAAAGATAGTGAGTGCTGAGTTAGGAATACAAATCCTTTAAAGAGAAACCAGAGGAATGAATTAAATATCATTTTGAGATTAATAAGAGACCTCTCTTAATAGACTTTATTGGACCTGACTGCTCTGATGGTCCCTTTCCATCTCAGCAGCACTTTTCATTATGTTTCTAAGTTTGTTTCTTAGCCTTAATGTGCTTTTCTAGGCATTTTTTAAGGTTAATATAAATAAATCTCTGGGTTCCAAAGGTGGAATCTAATTGAAGCTTAAGAAAGAGCGAGCAGAAGGGAAGAATGTGGCTGAGTACATAGGAAATTAGAAATAAGACTAAATAGCATCATGGGACTTGGGGAAAGAACAGAGATAACCACACAGTGTGAGAGGAATGCATGAAAAAGTGGAAAATTTTAGCCTGGTAGAGAGAGGAAATGGGACGTGTTGCAGCAGACATGACAGCAGATGGCAAAATTGAGCTACAGAGAGAGCAGAGAAACATCTGGAGCGATAGGAAGAGGCTGTAAAGGTGATGCAGATTTGCTGCCACCAAGCAGTAAAAATGCAGCATCCTCCGGTGGTGATGGAGGTCCCGGCTGGGAGCTCAGCTCATGGCTGGCTCCAAGGCACACTTTTGGCGTGCTTGGCCTG